TACCTAACGTAGTAGTCAGTGCTACCAGTGTCGATCGCTTCAAAGCAAAATTCGATCAGCTTTAATAATTACTACAGCGCATCATCTTTCGTTCAATTTCGCACGAGCTAGCACGACTAGCTGTTGATGGGCTTACGGAACACGCCCGCTCCGTGTAATTTAACTTTAACTTAACTAACTAACTATTTAATAAAAATTCAATATTTAATTTAAATTGAATTAAAAACGTTTATGTTTATTTCTCAGGTATTACGGTTTTCTTCTTCTAAGCACCGTTACTGAGACTTATTAGCATAATCATTTTTCTAGAATTTGTTTTGTTTTACTTGCAAATGTATAGTTTTTTTAACTGAAACAAGGAGAAAAATCAAACTTTCGAAGCTATTGTAAACTTATTATTGGTTGAGACTCGTTTATTTTCAAAACATGTGTAAAAAAAATATTTTATTTATTTGATAAAAATTCAATATTTAATTTACATCGAATTAAAAACGTTTATGTTTATTTGTCAGGTATAAGGGGAAAGCGGGGCAACATGGCGAATGGGGCAAGATGGTTTTCATATAACTACTCAACAAAAAATCTTAAAATTGGGTGAAAACGAAACTCTATTTGCATCTTGAATTTTAAAACACCGATTGGTTTTTTTAAATATTTACTTTTTGCGCTTAAAAAAAAAGTTTACTTTTGCGCTTAAAATAAAATTTTTTAGTTTCGGTTTCTCATAATAGATAAATCATAATAGATGGTGTCCTTTAAGTTTAACTTCTTTAGAAGTAGTTTTTTGCGTTATTGGTACTTTTTAAAATTTTATAAAATTGGAGGCGAAAACTGTATAATAAGTCATCTTGCCCGGGTCACGTGAGCAGATGACAAATTTATAAACTTTTTATTTTAATATTTATTTCAAACTGTTATATTTTCAAACTGAAAACTCATGCAGGCAGTGAATCATTTTAATAACATAAACATACTGAGAAAGTATTATTTTTTCACGACGATAGTTTTGCAATAACTCAGGGCTTTCAAAACGTTCGCCATGTTGACCCGCTTTCCTCTACATTTTTTTTCTTCAAGCACTGTTACTGAGACTTATCAGCATAATCATTTTTCTAGAATTTTTTTTTGTTTTACTTGATAATGCATAGTTTTTAATGCACCGTAAGTGAGACTAGGAGAAAAATCAAACTTTCTATGCCATGTAAACTTAATATTGGTTGAGACTCGTTTATTTTTTAATATATAAAAATAAAAATTCTTATTATGCAATAAAAATATAATATTTAATTTAAATTGAAAACGTTTTTCATTGAAAACGTTTAAGTTAATTTATCAGGTATTACAAGCTTATTTTTTAAAGCACCGTTATTGAGACTTATCAGCATAATCATTTTCCGATAATTTGTTTTGTTTAAATCTTACAAAATGTATAGTTTTTTAATGTACCATAACTAGAAGACTAGAAGAAAAATCAAACTTTCTATGCAATTGTAAACTTTATTATTTAAGAAACCTTTAGTTTCAAAAATATATAAAATAAATATTCTAACCTTGTATTAAAAATATAGTTTTTAATTTAAATTAAATTAAAAACGTTTATGTATATTTTTTACGTATTACATGCTTCTTTTTTTAAGTACCATTACTGAGACTTATCAACTTAATCATTTTTCTAGATTTTGTTTTATTTTAATCTTGCAAATGTAAAAATTACAAATGTTTTTATTTATATATATGCTTGTCATTAAAATATAATAGCTTGGACTCACTTTCGATTGGACCTCTCTGCGTCAGCTAGTCCTGCATTACTATATTTTCAACATCTTAAGATTGTTTACAGTTAAAATTTAATCTCAAAGAAATGTTTCATTTAGTACAAAAAAAACAATAATCTATTTCGTCTAATCTTACCGCGCGATGTTCTGACTTCCTAAACTTTTAAAAAAAAGAGAGACAAAATGTTGTTTAATAAAGTAATAATCAAACTGAAATTTTAATAAATACAATTGCACAAAAAATTCTTTACAACAATAACTATAGCACAAACGTTTAATATATTTTTGTATTGCTGTTTATCCTCCTCCGTTTAATTGCTATAAAGAGGCCACATACCAAGGTCCGTGAAGATAAGTTCAGCTCACTAAAAAGCATCATAAAGCGCTTTGACGGATCAAGAGTAATTGAGTTTAAAAAAGAATAGAAGTAAACAAGAGTAAAAGTGAGAAGAAGTTGAGTTAAAAAAATAGCACAGAGGAAAGCGGACAGATGTATAAGATGTCAGAATGTGCAGTTTGACAAAAAAAACTTTATATTATCTGTTTTGTTGTTTTTGTATTCTTGATACACTGTATATTTTTTAAAATAGAAGTTTAAAATAGAAAAACGTAGGTTAATTATTTTTTTAGCTTATTTGCTTCTGCGTATGCTTTAAAGCACGTGTCTTGATTTTTAAGTTGCTCAGAATCTCCGTTTACTTTTTAGCGATTGTGTTCTAAGAATATAGCTGTTTAAAGCAGCGCAATATGTATTAATTTTCAAACAAAGATTAAATTTGTTGAAACTTAAGTCATTGTGGAATTGATATTAGAACTAACAATACAATGTAACGTTATCAAAACTGCACCCTATTTTGTTTGTTGTCTTTTAACCAAAAAATAAGGCAAAAATAAGCCTCTTTACCGGAAATCAAAATTATATTTTGTATATAGTATGTTTGTTGTTATTGTATTTGTCACAAATCATTCAACATATTAAAAAAAAACTAAGTATCACAAAATACCTCAGATGTCAAACAAAATAATGTCCAAAACTAAAGACTAAGAAGATAAAAAAAATTAGTGCAATATAAATCAAGTCCCGACATTTGTGCAAAAAAAAAAAAAGACTTACTTCGAAATATCACCAATATCGGGACACGCGAATTTCATTATTTTGAACCCATACATAAATACTAGTTACCTTAACATTACCTTACAAAAATATAAACATAAAAAAAAAACTTGAGCTTATGTATGTCCCGGTTGCTGGACGCCAAATGAGGTCTCACTAAAGGTGCGGATGTTTGTATGGCTGTATGTATGTATGTATGTATGTATGTATGTATGTATGTATGTATGTATGTATGTATGTATGTATGTATGTATGTATGTATGTATGTATGTATGTATGTATGTATGTATGTATGTATGTATGTATGTATGTATGTATGTATGTATGTATGTATGTATGTATGTATGCATGTACGTATGAACGTATCAATGTATGTGCGATTTGCTGCATTAATACTTGAAAAATCAGTTGCAATATATACACTAACTGTGCTAATCTCTAAATATTCAGTCAATAAATGTATTCTTAAAAGTGAATGCAAAATAAAAATTAAAAGCATAACAATTAAAAAAATAAATCAAAATAAAACACTCAAAAATAAAAACAAATCTTTTTAATAACAAAGAAAACTTGATTAGGTAATATATATTTATTTATTAATGTATAAACTTTTTTCATATTTACGCTTTTTTGTATTTTGTAAATTTATTTTTTAATTTTTTTTTTAAATTAACGTTTTAAACTAATATATTTGTTTTGAGCTACCATTAGTTATCATTAGTTACCATTAGTTGTTCATCCCATAAATATCTGGCGAAAGGTGTCAGATATTTATGGGGTGCACTTTTTATGATAAGGTAAATTATACTTAATCATAAAAACAACTATAAAGCAACAATTTTAACTAATATTGAGGAATTAAATATTGTAAAACATTTTGTTACTTTTGCTGCTCTGTTTTGGATAGGTTGCTTCTATGTTTCTAATTTTGCTATCATGGATCATAGTGTTTTAGGCAGTTTAAAACAACGGAGGAAGAATTGTTTTCCCATTATCTATCCATTCCTGGATATAAGTAGGCCCTTCCCAGTGGGCACACGCCGTCCAGGATAAGTCCATCGGTCGTCCAGAAATTTTTTTTTTGGATTGAATTAATTTAACTGAATTGACGTCCAGACAGACGTCTCCAGGACGACGCATGCCCACTGGGTTTTATGACTGAAAAAATGGTTCATAAATTTATTGCTTGCAGTTAAATTATGAACCATCAAACAACTTATCTTATTGGTGTTCGAAAACTTGCTTACTAAGATTTTTGAGATTTTTTATTTTGCCTTTAAACGATAATAAACGAAAATAAACGACTATAAATGACAATAAACATTATTAAACTGCACCAGAACGCTAATAAACATAACAGTTGATTTTCTTCATAAAATTTGCGTTGTCTGTAATACACATAATTTTAACGCGATATTGTACTGGTACCCAAACTATAAAGGATTTACCTCAAACTAATTCAGTCTTTCATAAAAAGTGCGGCAAAATGTATTCTATCACATTATATTTATATTGAAAACACAACACAATTACAACTGGTTGTAACAGCTCTAAATACCAGTGGATTCGTTTTTGCTAGCCGTCAACAATACTTCATTAATACAACTCTATAACAGTTCTAAAGTTTATACATGGCTATATAAATATGGCATTAGTTTCCTTAACATAATAGACGCTATTGGAAAAGCGGTTTTGAAATCGTTTTTTTTTTCTCAAATCAAATTATAAACTAATTGCATACGTTTTTTAAAATAGATATTTCTAATTTTTTTCTTAGAAACAGACTAAGTTTATTAATCACGATGAATTATTTAGGCAAAAGAAGGAAATATATAACTGCTTTTAAGAAAAGACATTTAAGAAAATATTTTATAAAGAAAAGTTAAAAAGTAAATATTAAAGTATGATACTATTGAATAAACAAACATTTTTTTAAAAAGTTATTTAAAATCTGTTTATAAAAATGAAATAAGTCAATGAGTAAATAAAAGATCATTTTACTGTTAAAAATACAATACTTCAAAGAAAGCGGGAAAACTGCAACACCCAGTCATATGACATGAATTATAAATGCTTTTCCAAGAAAACACATTTCAAACAAAAGACGTTATATGTCGTTAGTATGCAATTCTGAAATGAAAGTTTAATTATGAAATTAAAAGTATAAACTACGGACATTATTAAAAATGTTTAGGAAAGATTTATAAAAAGGTTTGATTTTATTGTGTGTTTTTGCGTGTAAATAAAAGGGGAAAGATCACAAAAATGAGTTTTAGCATAACATTTCAATAAAAAAAAAAATTAATGGAAGCGAACGTGTATATATAACTTGTATTTTAAAATATCAATTAACTTGTTTTTGAAAATTTTTAACGTTACTTTATACGCTTATTTTTTGTGCCTAAAAAAAGTATACTACGGTAATTGCTAATGGGTATGGCCTATAAGCAAGCAACACCTTTTTTAGTGATGGTTTTATGCAACACATGTTTATTTTGTGGTATTTCAGATTAAGTAGTCGGTAGTTTCTAAATTTTATAACGTTGGGGACGGAATCTTGCTCTGATCAAGTGATCAGATGAAAAATTATAAATTTTTAATTTTATTGGCTTTTAAACTTCTTTAAGTCGTTTAGAAAGACTTGCATAAGTTACGATGACATTATGTTTAGATTTTTAGGCCTTGGTTACTTGAACGTATAACCTCCCAAATCTATTTATTTTGGTTTTAATAAGTTTTGGCAAACAATATTAACGCAACATTAGTTTTGGAAGACAAAATTAGTTAATTTTAAGAAACACAATATATACCTTAGAATATCCTCAATAAGATTTAAAATTAAATGAGTTTTGATCAAGTTAAAAATAAAAAATAACTATAGAGACGTCTTGAAAAAAAGCAATAAAATGTTAAGGTTTGCTTCAACTAATCATTTATAAAAAGGTTAACTATTAAATTACCTTATTTGCGATTGTCATTTGACATTAGTACCAACACACAATGTGCCCAGAGTATGAAAGAATTTCTTTTTTTTTTTTAACTTTAAATAGTAAACTCATATTGTGAAGAACAAATTAAAATCATAGCAAAGCAAGTCATAGAAATTCATTAAACCATTTTAATTTTATAGATGTTTGAATTTGAAGAAAATTTCAATTAAAACTTTTAGCTTCCTATCTCTAGTGGAAATATTTCATGCAAAAAGTACACCAAAAACAAATTAAATTTCTGAAAACAATCTTGTACAGTTATAATATAAATTTTGAAAATATTCTGTTGATATCTTACAAAAAAGAAAAAACTAACTAGAAATTATTCGTAAGATTTAAAATTTGATCAATTTTTTGTTGTCAAAAAGTTAAAGACATATCATACCTTATTATTTGACATTTATATATATACATATATATATATATATATATATATATATATATATATATATATATATATATATATATATATATATATATATATATATATATTTATATATATATATATATACATATATATATATATATATATATATATATATATATATATATATATATATATATATATATATATTCATATATATATATATATATATATATATATATATATATATATATATATATATATATATATATATATATATATATATATATATATATATATATTCTAAAAACTTTTTTATAGCTTATCTGAGATACAACTCTCGTCATACTTTCATATCAAAAAATCTTACTAAATAAACTTTTATTTTTATTTATTTTATTTATTGTCTTTATATATTGATTTTATATATTGTGAAAGTAAAATATCAAGCGCGTTTATGATAATTTATTAATAAACTTTTTATAAACGCGTTTATAACAACTGCGGTTAATATAAACTTGTAATGCAAAATATAACTAAAACTCTCAACAAAAGGACCAAAACTTTCTTTTTTATTTTAGTATCCTACTATCCTACTCATACTGAAAAACGTTACTAACGATTAGATTTATGTCTTCTACTTTGTTTATTTGTTTATTTCGCGGTTTAATAACTTCCCTACGGGCATTTGGTTTTAAAAGTTACGTTCTAAATGTAGTTTAAACGTTTTTTAAACGTCTTTTAAACGTTCTCTACATAAGAATATTTTAAAGACATTTAAAAGACATTTAGAACGTAACTTTTAAAAATAAATGCCCGCTGGGTTACAATTTAAAAGTTTATAAATAAAAACACTGGCGGGGTAAGTAGAAGGCATTATTTTGTCTTATCACCGAGCCCCAATCGCACGTATTTACGATAACCGTATAATGTTATATATACTTTACAAATTGAATAAATTTTATCAATATATTTATACTTTACAAATTATTTATAAAAATTATAAAAGTAAAAATAAATAACAATTAGTTTAAGAAATACTTCAAGAACAATATTCATGTTAAGAGGAACAATCAAGTAAACAAGAAAAATCGAAAGAAAAGAAAAAAAAGGAAAACAAAAATACATAAGCAAATTAAGGAGCACGTATTTACAAGAGCCATTATATATACGTATACTAAACAATTTATTTATTGAATAATATAAAAATAAAATATATAACAGTTTGTCATAAAGAAATATTTTTATAAAGAACTAAAAGTTAAAAATAAAAGAGTACTTAATTTACAAAAACTATAATATTTATGTATATTTTAAAACCAATTTGTATAAAAGTAAAATTAACAACAATTTATTGATTGAATAAAAAAATATATATATTCAAGAACTCAGATTAGATTTCAACAATAACTTTTGCCGGGTTTTTATCAACTTCTTTTTCAAAATAGGACTGAAATATTTTATAAGAAAGGCCCTATTTTATTTTATACATGAACATTAAAACTTGGTGTAAGTTGATTTTGTATACGTTTAATGCGCCAAGCATACGCAGAAGAGGCTCGCATAGTAAAATTTTATAAGCTCCAAATAATATTCTGCACGCATGTTTTTTTTACTGTACAATTTTTATATATATATCAAATAACAATGAATGAAAGAAAAATATAAACTTTTGAAAGATTTATTATTTAGAAATGGTTTAGCCATATATATCATGGCAATATTTTTTAATATTTGACACCTGCTCCACCTCTTTTATTTATTAAGAAGCGTCATCTTATTCAAATTTTATTAATTTAAAATATATATATATATATTATATATATATATATATATATATATATATATATATATATATATATATATATATATATATATATTGTATAATATTTTTGTATAAAAAAGTACAACAAGTTCTTATGTTCGTTTAAAAGTGATCGATATTCAGAAAAGAAATGTTTTATATAACAGACCTGATACATTTAATAAATTTTAAAATGAAAAAAAAATTCGTTTTTTTTTTCATTTTAAATAAATTTTAAAATGAAAAAAAAAAATTGTTTTTTTTTTTTTTCATTTTAAATAAATTTTAAAATGAAAAATAAAAATTCGTTTTTTTTTTTCATTTTTAATAAATTTTAAAATGAAAAAAAAAAATTAATAATAATCAGGTTTAGATAAAAAAATCAAACGGTTTATTTGACGTCACAATGAAATGCGTTTAATGCTGCAGAGATATTCATTCTTTTTCAAATTTCAAATTTTTATAATAAGTATGATTTTGGCTTATACTGCGATGATGAATTAGCAGTCTCTTAATTTCCGCAACATGTCATACCAACCTTACTGCAAACCTGATAATACTTTAAACTACATACATGCTCAATCTAACCACCCTCCTAGTTAATTAAAACAACTGCCTCGCAATGTTGAATTGAAATTGTCTTGGAATTCTAGTAGCGAAGAGGTGCTTAAGAAGTCTGTATATGTTTATAATAAAGCACTGCGAAACTTTGTTTATAAACACAATCTCTCCAACCAACTTACAACAACAAAAAAAACTATACATGCAAAATAATCTGGTACAACCCTCTTTACAGTATAAATGCCACCACAATTATAGGAAAATGCTTTTTAAACGTGATTGCCCAACATTTTTCAATTAACCACAACCTACATAAAAGTTTTAACAAGAATACTGTAAAATTCAGCTACAGTTGCATGTCAAACATGAAATCAGTAATAAATTTACGCAACAAGCGCATCCTAAACAAAAATCCAACCATCAATAAAAATAACTGCAACTATCACTTCGGATAACCATAACCCTTCAATCCAAAAAATTATACATTTGTATAAGTTAAACACTCTTTTACGGAGATACGCCTACCATTTAAAATCATTCAACACTCCTAATCATATAAGCGATACGGAACTATCAAAAGAAGTCTGGAAGTTAAAAGATAATAATAATAATCCAGTGGTTTTAACCTGGCAACAAAATTACCCAAGTTATGCGTTAGCAGTAATAAGTTTTTATTACTGCTATTTTTTTTATTACTGTTTTTATTTTAACGATTACAAATACTATTATATTTACTGTTACTTTTGCTCTATTAATAAATAAAGTTAATATTGTTATTATTATTATTTTAAATTAATATCATTATTATTATTATTATCTTTAATATATTATTGTAATTAAATGGTTGTAAATTTTGAGGAAAATAGATATCTTGTTGTTGGTGGTGTTGTTGTAAATATTGCATCAGCAATTAAATCAATCTAAGTTCTTTTCCAATACATTTGGCGAACCGGCAGTCAGAGGCAATTCTACGGGAGGTGGTTACTTTTCAAGGATTCACTCCCCCACACACCTTTTTTTTCTCCTTAAAATTGTCTCTGCTAGCAGTTTTACAAATTTGATATACAAAATAATGTTAAACAAGTTTTAATTATCCACTAATGTTAATTTTTAGTACTTTTAGCAGCATGGTTCAATATAAGTAGTGACGTTTATAAAATATCTGTTACTCAGTTATTTTACGCATGGTTGTTGTAAATAAACACACATATAAATATTATAATATATGCTTATAGAGTTTTTTAGACTATTTACGTACGGCAGATAAACTGCATTACACAATGTCTTATGTACTGGACAGAACCCAATAGGTTTCTTAAGATTATTAATGTTAACTACCGAAAAAACTTGTTACGAAAAATACTAAAATTATTATTATTACATTACTAATTTATTACTAATTTATTACTAATTTATTACTAATTTATTACTATTTTTATAATTATACTTATTTAGTGATTTCAAATTGTATCAATATATTAGATTTCTTTCAGTAATATCTTTCACAGAAATTTCAAAATTATCATATTTTGGTTGCCGAAGACATGCAGAACGGAAATGGTAACTTTATAATGAACTTTACTGTAAACGACAGTAAACAACAAAACAGGGTACATATAATTTCACCTGACACCTCCCCTTCCCCTCCCCTCCCCCAATTCTCTCTCCTCTTTTCTTTCCAAAGAAAAACTGACGTCTTTATATATCAATTTTTAATTGTTTCTTACAACAATAATTTTTGCGCAATTTGATTTGCAATTCGCAAATTTTGCTCTTTTTAGTTGTTTATTTTTGTTATTTGTTTGAAATTTTTTACTTCATTAGTGCTTATTTCAGCGTTAAATTTACGTTGTGTCTAGTGCAACGGTACCCTTGGTTTAATTTTTTATCTTTAAGTCACGGTAGTAAAGTTTGATTGGTTTATTTTAAGTCACCGCTGCGAATATGATTGGTTGATTTTGGCGTACTGAGTGTACATACATCCACTGATTTAGGATAGGCGCAATGAGTGTGCATACATCTATTGATTTAAAGATAGGCACAGTGAGTGTACATACATCAATTAAGGGTTTTGGTTTGGACATTCTTTAAATGAAATTTAAAAAAAAAATCAACCAATCAAAAATCACTACCGTGACTTTAAAGAAAAAATGAAAGCGACGCTACCGTTGCGCGAGCAGCAGCGTTAAATTTAATCTTACTTGGTTACAATAAAGTTTGTTTTTTCATTTTATATTATAATTGCTTCTTTATTTAATTTTGTATTATAAAATGACTAATTATAATATAGATCCAATCAACTCTGAAAAAATCAATGAAGAGAAAGGTAAAAACAACTTTTCAAATAGTTTAAAAAGATTAAAGTTATTTGTGTTTCTAATAGCTTTTTTTTTTCTAATTATTCCTTTCATCAATACAATGCTGACAAGAAGTTACTTAAGTCACCAGTTACTTAAGAATGTCCGTGCTCATAAAACCTTTGTTTGACTCTTATGATAATATTTTGATTATGTTGCATTTTTAAAAGCAAATCAATCTAAATGTAGTATAAATTAAAAAGCAAAAGCTAACCAATCAAAATGTATTTAAATTAGATATTGATTTTATTAGCTTCAGCTCCTCCAGATTATTTTCAATCACAATTAATTCATCAACAAACAGGAGTAAACAACTTTCAACAAGCCAGTAATCCTAACATTCAAACTCCGAATCCGATGGGAATGAACAATCCTCAACTTAATCAACCTCAAGCACCGTATCCGATGGGAATGAACAATCCCCAATTTAACCAACCTCAAGCTATGTACCCAATGGGAATAGTTAATCCTCAATTTAATCAACCTCAAGCTATGTACCCAATGGGAATGAACAACCCTCAGTTTAACCAACCTCAGCAATATCTAAATACTCCACAATTACCAATCAACAACAGTAATAACATTGTTAATCAACCTCAGGTAACTTTTACAAACTTTTTTTATTTTTTCTTAACAACAACATATTTTACTTGTGAGAATATTTGTAGTGGATTTTAGTGGCGTTAAAAACCATCCTAAAGACTATAGTTTTCGTCACAAACACCTTTTAGCACGATGTAGCTTAAAGAGTGTTTAATTTAAATAATTAACATTTTAATGTCTAAATTTATATCATATTGGTTAATCTCACCACATTTGAGCTAAATCAAAAATTGAAAGATTTTTAAGAGTAAGCATATTTTTTTAAGATCATCATCAGCCAAATAAGTTTTTAATTCTTATCGTTAGCATCTTGTAGCATCAAATAGTAGACATCAAATAATTCATCCTCTTTTTTTCATAAAAAATTACTGATCCGCTCTCTGAATAATAGATAATTAAGATAACTTAATAAATACAACTATCGTAATTACAAGTTTCAAATTAAAATAATATTTGTTATTAATAAAGGTGATAATGGCCTTTTTTTGTGCGTAAAATAAATGTGCATTAACAAGTTTCTACTAAAATTCTATAAGAAATAAGAACCCAAACTATTTCAACAGTTTACAAATATTTTTTCACGGTTTACAAACACGTACATTTAACAATTAACATCAACAATCAGGCTAACCAGCCTCAGACAATTTAGTATATCTTACGTATGCCATGTAAAAATTTGAAATGTAGCGTAGAGATGGGTTAATCCGAACAAAAGCATTGTTTTAAACTTTGTATTTTTTTCCTCTTTAGCTTTTGCAATAACTTTTTTTTTTTTTACATTGTATGTGTCAAGTAAATATTATAAGTATTTTTAAACAAAGATAAAGAAGGTAGTGACAGAAATGTTATACATTGATGCAGCCGAACGTATTAAAGCACCTGCTTGAATTTCTGCTATGGCTCGCTCAATATCTTCTAAAGAATATAAGGCAGATGGTTTTTTTATTCTTATAATGACGACTCATTATGAAAATAAAGAAATTCAGAAAAAAAATCTAGTAAAATGCATATTTAAACACAATCAATCACCGTCAATCACATTATAAAAGTGATAGAGTAAACGTTAAAAAGTAAAATAAAGAAACCAACTACAAAGAAAAAAACAGCAACTTTGAGTTAAAATTGAAAAAAAAACTTACACATTAAAAAAATCATAAATATTATTGACTTTTTAAAGATAACCAAGTATTTTGTAAAATTTCTACAAAATATAGATATAATAACAAATATAGATATACAAAACATAGATATACTAACACAAATTACCTGTTTCAACTTATAAGAGCTAAAAATTTCTACCTATTTTTTTAAAGATAGAAATCTTTACCTATTTTTGTAACATTTAACAAAGTACGTCAGTTCATTTTAACATCCAACAAGGTACGTTCATTTTGGAAAACTATTAGTTTTCAAATATGAACTGACCTTGTTTTAACGATGATAACAATGATAACAGTAAAACGCTTGAAGCTTAATCACTAACAAAGTTTATAACAATAATAAAGTCATTAAAAACTTTAGTAACTAAAAAATAAAACTACAAAAAATGAAGTTAAACTATTCTACCTTTTAAGTAATACTTTTTTTATTTAAAAAGCAAATAATTGTACAGAACTCGGCCAAAAAAAATTTATTTCAAGTTGAAATAAACTTTCTTTAGTAAAACTTGTGCAACCTAAAATACCTGGAATAGGCTTTAGTTTTTTTATTAATTGAAAACATTGATTTGTATTAACTTTTTATAAATACTTTTTTTCAAAATGTTTGATGCATATAACAGAATAATTAGTGTCTAATCATTCCTGAATTTCTTTTTTTTTAATGCAAAATATACGGCAGTATAATTAAAGTAGGCCATAAGAGTAGTTTTTGCAACTTTAGTTGTGGTACTTTTAGCACCTCTTTTTAATCTTGATCAACATTTATCACAGAATAGCTTGTAGCATAACACTTTCACTCCACGCGTGTCAATATGATGTTTTGTATTTTCAATAATAGTGATAGTTCATTATTTTAAAAAGTATCTGGCTGATAAAGTCCAATTTAATTAGCGAAGACAACTTTGATTGGACTTTTAAACAAAAAAAAAACATTTTGTCTCAGTACCCCAATTAATAACTTAGTAATAATGCGTTTTGTTAATAGCAGCTGATGACAGCCTAATCTAGGAAGTTAGAGTAGCAGTGGCACAGTGGTTAAAGTTCTGGTTCAGAACCAAGAAGTCTGACATAAATAAGAAGGCGTAGACTTTTTTGATCACCTTAATACCTAAAAAAAAAAAGTTTAGATTGTTAATCACCTTAAATTCAATTTAATATAAATTGAAAAACCTTGCAACCAATCCTTTACATAGCTATGAACAAATTAAAGTTCAAAATTACATTATATTTTTAATTTTTAGCGTTCTAGTGCTCATTAAAAAGTTATCCACCCACTAAAAAGTGGATCCGCCCACTAAATACAACTAATTTAGAATAGGTTATTTAATTGCTTTGTTGCAACAAATGTTAATCGTTGGATCATTATTTATTATTAGAAATGGACAAAGGGTAGGTTAGAGCTAGGTGTTTTAAGTAGGTAGAAAAATTAAATTAGGTTTGTAAACTTAGTTTCTAACATTTTGTAACTTTTATATGTCATTTACAAGCGCATATACACGCGTCGTTTACATGGACATAGAAAAAATTTAAATAAATATATATAGTTTCATTTAGCGCGTTAGTTTTCTTCCAATACGCGCGAGTGAATAATTAGTAACTCAAAAATTGTTATTTTTGTTTTATTGTAATTTTTCAATAGTTTTCATATTTAATTTATTGAATAATTTTTTTTTTTAGAATTCTAATGTAATAAACATTAATGTCAACCAATCAACTAAAGAAAAAACTGTGTTGGTTGAAATTCCTCCAAGTCACATGAGGCTCGCTATATGTTCCTGTTTATGCTGTTTTTGGCCTATTGGATTATTCGCCATTATGAAATCCTATGAGGTAATTGTACAACTTAAATTAAACTTTTTTTTCTTTAAAGTTAATCACCAAGAGGCCGATGAAACCAGTACAGTCAAGAAGGCTATTTTTTTGTGATTACAACCGTCTCTCATCTCTTTAACTCCAAAAAATAAACATTAACAAACAAGGTCGCTGCGCGGTGAAACAAGTTGAGTGCGGTATTATTAGAGATGTGGAAGGTATTAAACTCAAAACTTCTTGTTTATAATGCAGGAGGTTTAACATCTACACCACTGACGCATTAAGTAACAAATAAATGGTTTAAAATCACTATCTTAACGTTGTCACGTTAAATAAGTAGATCGTTAAATAAGTAGACAAATTGAACAATCAAGGCATTATTTGTGAACCCAGACGAATAAATTAAAAAACAAACATACGTTAACCGAACTAAAAGTATTTACTGTGTCATGCGAATTGTTATTATTTTATAGCATTTTTAGAGTGATAATTTACCACTTTTAATAATATTTAACTCACGACGTAATTTATATTCTAGTCGTAATTTATACCTTAAAAGCATAGTATGAGAAGAAACATATTTTTAAGAAAGAGCTTTTTTTTAGGTCATTAATGATATAAAATAAAATAGTCATCTCACAAGGAAGTTTATTATATTACTTAATAATTTAACTGTGCATTTTAACAAAATGTTTCACGTTAAATAGTTTATCTTTATCCCTTAAATCTATCAATTATAAAATTTGTAATTGCTACTTGATTCTGCGCAGATAAATAGCAAAAAAAGAAATTCTGATGTTACCGCAGAAAAAAGAAGAAAATTTATTAATCCTATCAAGGCTTTTTTTGTGTGTTAATTTACCTTCTCAAGGCCGAAAAAGCCATTCCAGTCGCGGAGGCTGCTTTCGTTCTGGTTACAATTCTCTCACAACTCTTTAACTCCGAAACATAAACCATGACGAACAAGACCGCTACGTGGAGAAACAAGTTGAGTGCGGTAGTACCAGGTGATCGAACTCGGAACTTCTCGATTATGAGGGTAGCGCTCTACCACTTCATCACTACTCTACTACCGTTGAATAACAACCTAGATGGGTATTATTCGACTTTAGCGGTTTTAAATATGTATATCACAATAATAATAAAATGTGATCTAAACTTTCTTACTATGTAAATGTTTTAAATAAAAACAACATTAAAGAAACGACACACTTCATGCTACACTAAAACTTTCTTTTGAAAATAAGATCAAAATATCCCTACACAATATAAATAGCAAAATAAAATAACATGGTTTTTAAGTTCTTTTAAAAAGTATCAACTTGGTTAAAACTTGGGCATTTTCGGAAGAAATTCGATTTTTCCACATGGAGAAGAAGTAGTATAGAAATATAGCATAATATTTAAAAACTTTTTTAAATAAAATAAATAGTATCATAAAATCGCAACGAATAAAAAATAATAATAATAAAAGTACCTGCTTTTGTATCAGAAGAGTACAAATGCATTGATCAATATGTCAATAAATTGATTTACAAAATGAACTCTAAATGTGTGCCACAAGGATTTGAATTTTTAAATCATATAAATGTTAAAAATGTTAAAACAGCCATGGTATCAACATACCAGAATAGTCTATACTTTCACAATATTCCATAAAAAAATTGATCAAACATCTAATTATAATTAAAAATTGCATAGCTATATTTTTAAATACTACTTTTAGTGTAGTTGTAATAGTAGATATAGTTAAGCAACCGCAACAAATGTATGTAAATAAAGAACTGACTTTAATAACTGTACCTATTAACTATAGCTTATATCAATAACCCTTGTTGATAAAATGAATAACTGATGACAGTAAGAAAAAACAAACTACAAAGTGAGCAAAACAAATCCTCATGCCAGTAACAAAATAAAAAACAAGCACTAGTTGACCTAAATTAGCCAATTGTATAACTTTATTCATCTATAAGACACTTACAAAAACAAAATAAGTAATGAACTTTTTAAATATTAACTAAAACATACATAAATAATACCAACAATAAAAAAAAAACATGAACAATAACAAACATAAACAAACCAACAATAACAAAAAAAAAAATGTATTTATATATACTGATTGAATTAAAACATTCAAAAAAGTCATAAAAACAAAAACAAAAACAGCAGTAATAATAGGATACACTTACAACAATGATAGTACTAAAGACACACCTTTTTATGACAGAATAACGCAGTAAAAAAAGGTAACATCTCTAATGTTCCATTCTCAATACATTTCAGGTAATGTTATCTCATTTAATTACATTTTTACATAATTAAACTTAGGTTGATACTGCTACGCAAAGCCTTCGCATTTCCTTTTAAGAAAAGATCACAATCATTTTCATGTGCAACTCTATGCACTAACAATGGCGCATCATCTTTACTTAAACTATTAAAGAGTGAATCATAAAACTGAACACACTTCCAATGTGGAACAACGTCGGGACATATTACTTAAAAACACCCCATATAACTTTCTGAAAAACCACCTGAATTAAAACAAGTAAAAATGCAAAAAAACCCAGATATTTTATACTTGGAAATACTTTATAAAACTGATATAAAAACAAACTTTGTGCTATATCAATCAAGGTGTCACCAGGCCAGCCAGATGAGCCTCTTAAAATATCTAAGGCCTTGTCTTTAGACTGTATTAAAAAACTTTACAGAAAACTTTAAAAAAATTTGAACTTCGACAGCCTATTTTTACAATGATACTATCATTAACAAATAGCTTTTTTCAAAGCACTTTGTTAATTTTAAAGTATTTTGTTAACTGGTGATACCATTGCCAGTTTAAACTGTGAACCTTTTTCTTGATGATTGGTTTGAGGTATATAAGCAGACTATATCAAATAATCTAAAATTTTAGAGTTTTTTGAAGAGTAGCAAAAATCTATAAAATAAAGTAGTTACATAAATTGTTATTTTTTCAGTATATTTACTTCAACGATTAGTAATTTTAATAATACATTTTTTTTTCAAGTTTTGTTAAAGCAAGAGGTATAACAAAGTCTAGGGGAAGTTTGTGTACCAGACTTTTTCAATGCCCAAATTTGAGGCCCCAGAATAGTCTAAAAATGGCAAAGCTGGTACAATCACATCTCTATACTAATTACTTTGTATTAGTATAAGTATATTGACTTATACTATTAAAATTCCATCAAGTAGAAAGGTTTAAAAATTGGTGGCCCTAGAACAATATGCTTTTTTTGGACTGTGCCTAGGGTCACTTTCTGAAAATTAGGTTCAAATCCATAATAAAGTTACAGTTAATTTAATCTTAGACTGTTTTTAATAAATTTCTCTAGTAATATTTAATTGCAACATTAAATATATAACAAAATTAACTAATAGTTCTAGGCGAAATTGACAAATAAGTCAATGTAAAAAGTGACAAAACAACTGTACGTTATAAGATGCTAAGGCATAGTACAAATTAACTTACAATAATACAAAACATACAATAATACAAAATACACAATAATAATATACTCTTAATCATAAATTATACAAAAGTTTAACTTATATATACACATACCACAAAGTTGACATTTTTTATTATAATAATTTATTATTCCACCAGTGACATACTGCTAAACATCTTCAACTTAGTAATTATAGACTGGCAATTTAGATATATAATTTTAAAAAAATTATATATAAAATATATAGTGTATATAAGTTAAACTTTTATATAATTTATAATTAAGAGTTTATTATTGTGGATTTTATTTAAATGATCTTAATATCTCTCTAAAATTTTTAACGGCTTACCATTTTGCTGACGACACCAACTTACTCATAACAAACAAATCATTAAAAAAAATTAACAAACATATAATTTCTTTGACGTCAGTTGTTAGTAAAGTTATGGAAAAAATTGTCAAAGACAGTATGGTCCAACACTTAGTACAAAATCATCTAATTTCAACTAATCAACATGGTTTTGTGCACAACAAATCATACACAACTAATTTAATTGAAACAATGGACTTTATTACCTATTCATTATCTAAAGGAAATGCGGTTGATGTAGTGTTCATGGATTTTGCCAAAGCCTTCGATGTTGTTCCGCATAAATATTTAATTCACAAGTTTTCGAATTATGGAATTACAGGTCACACTTTAAAGTGGCTTGAATCTTTTTCGTCGACAAAAAGTGGTAATGGCAGAATTTTCATCAGAATGGAAAGAGGTATGGAGTGGTGTACCGCAAGGATCTGTTCTAGGTCCTATTTTATTTATAATATATATTAATGATATGCGAGAACTATTAAAAAGTGTAAATAAATTTGTGCTGACGATACTAAAGTATTAGCAAAAATAAATAATATCAACGAATAAATGTATTACAAAATGACATAACTAAAATCGCAAAATGGTCCCAAACATGGCTTCTTTACTTGAATGAGTCAAAATGCAAAGTAATGCATCTCGCCAAATCAAACAAACATCATAATTATACAATTTAATCAATAGCAAATGAAATAACTGGTATATGCAGTACAAACGATGAAAAGGATTTAGGTGTTATTTTATCTAGTAAGACGAAATATCATAGTCAAGTTATTTAAGCATCAAATAAAGCAAATAAAATACTTGGAATGTTAAGCAGGACTTTCACCTATATGGATAGCAAACTTCTCAAAACATTGTTTACAGCGTTTGTGAGACCTCATTTGGAATTCGCAATACCGGCGTGGAACCCTTACCAAAAAATGACATAATACTAATCGAAAAAGTACAACACCGAGCAACTTTTTTGATTCCATCACTCAGAAAATTGAATTACAAAAAAAGATTAAAAATTATGGGTATTCAATCTCTTGTTGATCGTAGAGTTCGAGGTGACCTAATACAATGTTTTAAAATAATAAATGGCTTCGATATTGTAAATTGATGTAACGTAAATTCGCTCTCTTATCCAAGAAATTTTAATCAAAGTTGAACGCGAGGTCATAACT